ATATTAAAATTAAAATTTCTTTAAGAATTACTTCACTGGGCTCTCTAAAGAACAGTTGGGAAGCAATCTTTATCAACTAAGCCACCTTTCTTTAGGTGATTAGTTTTAGGTTGAACTCTGATATTTATATTTTAATTTAAATCAGCTCCTTCGTTTTCTAACATTAAGAGGTGTTTAGTTGGAGAGCAACTTTTCTCCCTTCTAAACTTTCTTGCAAGTTATTACATATTTTCTTACAGTAATACCATAACAAAAAGAGAATGAAAGTAATATTTAGAATATTTATTTTTCTTAATATAATTTTTAACCTATAAAATTATTTTCCCTTCTATCTTGAAAGAAAAAAATTTTCCTATAACTTCCCTTATATTATACCCATTTCACAACTTTCTCTACTAACTTTCCATATAGCAATTTTTTACCAAACAAAACCATGTTAATAATCTAACAAAATTCTAAAAAAACTTTATTATAAAACTTAGTAACTTTTTGTATGATACATTTTAACTTTATATACAGTACTTTTTTAATTACTTCTTTTAGTAAAAACCTTTTCAATAAAGTGACTCTTTTTTAACTAATTTTTTTAGTAAAAGCTTTTTCAATAAAGTGACCATCTAACCAAATAGGCCTTAAGAATAGATACAGGTGGTGGAAACCACTGCAGTCCTTGGCTCTACCATACCACATGATGCGGCAGCTGCTGGGATTCAACATTCAAGCCAAGGTATCCACAGGCCACAGTGTAGAAGGCTTTCATATCACAAAGTCAACTCTAAATGAAGCTACCTAAGTGATTGCTAGTTTTCTACAAAACAGAAGGCTACCATTAATTGTGTTTTAACCATCACATGCTAGTTTTGCTGAAAATATTTGAATCTACCATTTACAAAGCAACCTCCATGTGTGAGGATGATGCGTACTGGACATTTTAAGTCTTCTAAAAGCCACTAGTAGGGTGCCACCATCAAAAGTCAAAGCTAACCATCTGAATCCCTTCAGATTGACATAGCTTGTCGATGACAAATGTTAATTGTTTAAACATATCTACTTAACTTTATGCCTCCAATGCAAGTATCAAGAGTAGGACAACTTTTAGGACCACATCAAATTTACACTACATTTACACTAAACCATATGTCCTCAAACTTCATTATGTATTTATGAGACAAATGATAGAGAGTTGTTGGTACAAGCGATCTATTAGTATGTAAACACATGGAACCAGAAAACAAAAGTGAGCCATGTAAATGTAAAGGTTAACAACCAAAAGAGATCAACACAAGAAGATCAGTTTTACGAACACATTATTAACTTGGAAGAAAGGGGCTTAACAGGCTACACTTCCTGTAAATAAAGAAATCATAAGATTGATAAAACTTTGCTTGAGGAAATGAATTGAGATTGGAGCAAAGAGTTCATGAGGTAATATGACAAAAATAGGAATGGTAATTTAAAAGTCGAGATTTTGTAAAAAAGGAGGATAAAATTGTTGGACAGAAGACCAATATCCACATTCAGCACAACTGCATAGAAAGCAGATAAGATGCAAGTATGTTAAGACATACAGATCAAGATGAGTCTATCGAATTCATCAGAAAGCTGACATAAAGATGCATTAATTCTCCCTTCTAGATCATTAGCAAGCACTTTTCTTCTCTGGGTTATTTTCTCAATATTGTTATCATAGATGGACAATTAAAGGCTTGATGGTAAAAGAAAAGCAGCCACCACTCATAGGCAAATGAAGTAAATAAATGAGTAATCTCAATCTAACATATATAAGGCCTCTATGTGTCAAACCATGATGACAACTGACGCTTGAAAACCATTTCGAGCGTGCATCAGACAATTTAGAACTAAGAGCTTGTAAAAGTTGTACCTTTTAAAACCTTAGAACATATTGTAGACCATATGAAGAAACTCAATGTTTATTGATTACTCAACTTGGTAACCGTACTTTGTTAACCAAATATATTTAAGCATAATAACATTGACAACATGTTGGAAGAAACTGTATGTAATAATAACAGAATTTTGAATTTGAACAGAATTACCAGAATTTTGCAGATAAAAGTTTTTTTTTTTTTTTTTT